GTGTGTGTGTGTGTGTGTGTGTGTGTGTGTGTGTGTGTGTGTGTGTGAGAGAGAGAGAGAGAGAGAGAGAACTGCAAGCCACGCGGATGAGGGAGGATTCTTTTGAAGCAGCACAAGTCCCAAGTGCCCTTGAGGAAACAAGGTGTGAATTGCTAGTGGCCTTACACATCCCTGAGGCATTTTGAATGGCAGACTTAAAATACACCCACCCACTTTCCCCAACACCTCTTTTAAGGCCCCGATTTCCTGATTGCCTTTCTCTATACGGGCAGCTTTGATGTTGGGAGCTGCCTTTCTTCACCTTGTTGTAAACAACCTGAATTATCCTCAGAGGTGAGGACTTCGTACTGCACTATCCCAGAGGAGGAAGAGGGGCAGCTTATATCACCCTGGGTGAATGACCCTTCTCCCCCATCAGTCATCAAAACCTGAACACGTTCCTTTCATGCTCCCACTGGGCCTCGGTTTCTTCTCACCGTTATGGGCTTTGGGTCAGCTTATGGCCGGGACCTGCCATCTGCTTTGGGTTGTTTGCCCTCACAAGCACCATTCCGGCACAATTGGCAACTGTCCGAGAAGTCTCTGTGGGAAGGAAGCAGGTTGGAGCACAGAGCCCCAGTCTTAGCTCTTTCCCCTTGAAGGCAGGCCATTTTATTTGCTCATTTGGATTTGCCTTTATTATTTTGACAAAAAATATTTTCCCCACCACAACAAGATGGTGAGGTGAGTTGGCCTGAGAGTGAAAGGCTGGCCTGGAGTCACCCAGCCAGCTTTCATGGCTAAGGCAGGACTCCAACTCACCATCACCTGGGGATTGGCCCAAAGTCACCCAGCCAGCTTTCCTGGTTAAGGCACAAGATCTTACTTTCTCCCACTTTCTAGCCTAGTGCCTTAACTACCCTCATGTTGTGGTGGCCCATCCCATGACCAATGTATAGTCACAAATGTGGAACTTACATACGTTTCTCTCTTATAGAAGAGGATGTAGAATATTCTCTTCCACGGTAGGCTATCTCAAATAGTGCCAAGTTGGATGGATATAAGTGTGCCTCCAACCTGAGCCCCTCTTCTGGGGGCAAAGCCAAGGGACAGGATGTCTAGGGTTCTTGCAGATGGCCCTTGCTTTGAAGTGGCTCTGTGCCTCTCCCCGCCTGCCCCTTTCCGCCCTGCTCTGGGGCCATAGTAAGACCCCTTTGGTTTTGCTAATGACCCCTTTTCAGGCTGCCTGTCGCATTCATGCGAATGGCCACAGTGAGGCGAGAGGGCAAATGTGCCTGGTCTGAAGGCCCCGGCTGGCACACTTCACAGCTTCCTGCAAGTCGCATGGCCTGGCCTGGGCTCAAGGGGACTCGTCCCGCCTAGGCCCACCTCGTCCTAAGTGGCTGTAAAAGAGGCTGGGGTTTTGATCTTTCTTTCTTTCTTTCTTTCCCACACTTTCCTTCGGCTTCCGTGTCCTGAGAAGTGTGGATCCGCCTCTTGATCTTTTTTTATTACAAATTTCCTTTCTCACTCTTCCCATTTGCATTGATCTTGCAGCCTGAGTCCTGGAAACAAAATGTTGGCAACTTTTGAAAAGCTGTGCTTAGGGTAGGGTAAGTGAGCCACCCTGGGAAAGAGGTCGCAGTTGGCAAAATCCGGAAGAACCTTCTGCTTCGTGGTGTCCTCGTTGCCTCTGGGACCTTTTAGGAGAACTCCTTGATATTGTTTTGCGTAGGGACTTCCGTGGTGTCTTCCTGACCCTTTCTTTCCTTTGGGGCTGGCGCTTTGGGACCTCGGGTCCTGTCTTGAGGGTCAGAGGAAATTCTTGAGGGTCCCTTGGATGCAAGGAGATCCAATCAGTCAATCCTAAAAGAAATCGACCCTGACTGCCCTTTGGAAGGACAGGTCCTGAAGCCGAAGCTCAGATACTTTGGCCACCGAATGAGAAGAGGGGACTCCTTAGGAAAGGCCCTGATATTGGGAAAGAGGGGGGCAAAATGAGGATCGGGGGAAGGCCGAGGAGGAGGAGGAGGAGAGGGCTAGAGAGGCTCCAGGGAAGCATCGAACGTGAACGATTGAGGCAAACTCCGGGGGGCGGGGAGGGCGGGGGGCCCTGCGATCCATAGTTTGCAAGGAGTCGAACCTGACTTAGCAGCAATCGCAGGGAAACCTTTTCTCGCCCTCGTAGAAAGCCCTGGGTTCAAGTGCCGGTTCCGTTTACCAGATAGGGGTCTCTGGAGGACTGCAACGCTTCAGGCCTGTAGGTGTCCCAGCCCTTTCTCTCCAGGTGGTGCCGTTGAGCTTCCAAATGCTGCCCGAAACGTTGGTAGAAAGCAGAGAATTACATTCCCTCGGAGTGAAAGCCGATTTGCCGGGGATCTTCACCCTGCACTCGGCTGCCTCCACTCCTGAGTTCAACCAGGCCTCTCTGGGCTTCCCAACCCACCTGTCCCCAGGTGGGAAAGCCATCTTGTCCAGTTGGGCTCTGCATGCTGGTTGGGAGGGCAGTGGGGACAGACCGTGCCCTTCCTTCCAGGGTGAAGTATTTGCAGGGAAGAGGGGCATTTTTTCCTGTGGAAGGACTTCTTCGCTGGCTGGCTGTGATCCAGAGTCCCTGCACTGATCCTGCATTCTGGATCACGTGGCCACCGTCACCAGTGTGAAAAACGGTCCCAAGTCCCCTTTTTTCAGTGCCAAAACAAAGGGTTGTAAGTCGAGGAATCCCCACATGTTCTTTTGCGAGTCTCTCTGGCTTTAGGCCAGCAGAGAAATCGGGAATCTTACATTCTGACCCAATCGAGGGCCCCGTTTCCCTCGAGACGGCATCCCCGTAGCAACTCCGCATTTCCTCCGGTTAACAAGTTTGCAGATGAATCCAACATTTGACACGGTCAGTTGGGCAAATCTGGCAGCGGTGGTTGGATTTGGTTACAGGGGGTGGGAGGGACTGAGACCCCCAGGCAGCTGCCATTGTGCGGCAGGACACAGCCTGTTCTCCATTGTCAGCCTCAGTTTCCTGCCCTGTCAAGTTGACGCTCCGTCGCCTGGAACAAAGCAGATCAGGCCCTGGGTTCTCACTGGCGCATTTTACCGTCTCTTCGGCTTGGCCTCTTCCTTCCGCCTCACTTTACATAATCCCAAATTTCGAGGCCAAAGAAGTAAAACAGAACAATGGCTGGTGAGCTGGCGTGTGTCCCTCAGCCAGGGATTAGCTCTGTTTCACGCGGCCTTCGGTCCAGAGCATTCGGAAAGGTAGACCCTGAGATGATTCAAAGCATCTCCCGGTCTTTTTGTAAAAAGTGGGATTGATCCGAGCCCTGCCGGGGTTGAAACGGAGGAATTTTAGAACCGATCGGGCTTTGTGGTTTCAGCCAACAGCTGCTTTCCTTCTGCACCTGTAGCTGAAAAGAATACACTTCTTGCTGTCCTGGTAGGATGGCTCTGTATTCATGCAGTCATGCACGATCAGATGGTGTGTGTGTGTGTGTGTGTGTGTGCGCGTGTGTGTGTGTGTGTGTGTGGAGACCATTGTTTTAAGATCTATTAAGACCTCTTGTCACTTTGTATGGGTGATTCTTGGGGGCTCAAACAGCTGGTGCTTTCAGAAACAGGCAGAGTTGAAAGGCTGCGTTGGCCAGCGAGTCCTCCTGGGCTCTGGGGAGAGAGCTGGTTCAGCCCTATTTCATAGTATCAGAGCTGGATTGTTTTGACCCTTGGCAGACCTGAAATGCAGCGCCATCCGAGTTGGCGGCGGGCAGATTAAATTGGTACTTGCCCGGTGCTGCTTAACAAACCGCCCCCCCCCCTCCGTTGTCTTTTCCCCCCTCTTTGGTTCTCGCCTCCTTGGAATCGGAATCAAATTGTGCCGCCCTCCGTTGTAAGTTCGTAAAGGAAATAAAGCCGCCGTTGTGGGTAGGGTGAGAATGTGGAAGACCTTTGTGGCGTTTGAAATCAGTAAGAGAAAAGGGGGATCCAGGCCGGTTATAAAAAGGGCTGCCCATTTTTTTAAAAAAAAAATCTTGTACCTCTTCTTCCTGCTCCCCCACTTGTTCGTTCCTCTTGGGCAGGGGTCTCCCACCTTGGCAACTTTAAGCAGGGAGGACTTCAACTCCCAGAATTCCCCAGCCAGGAGAGCACAGCTGTGAGTTGAAGTCCATAAGTCTTAACACTTGCCAAGGTGGGTGAGCCCTGCCTTTGGCTGGGGCTGAGTTGGGCAGGTGCTGATCCTCAGAAGGGGTCCCCCTACAGTGGGATCGCACCCACCAGCGCCCGCCCACCTTGCAAAAACAAGGTTGGCTCCCTGCTCCTGCCTTTCCGTAAGCCTTTTGAAAGTTGAATTGTTTGGGGCGTCCTGGGAAGAATGGAATGACATCATCCGTTTATTACGGTGGCTGTGGCTCGCGTGCTTTCCTTTGGCCATTTTTAGTTATATATTGTTTGGTGACTGTGATTGGGTTGCGGGCCGCGTAGGTGCCATTAACCATTTAGGCTCTGGTGGCAAGAGATCCGAAGTGCCTCTGTGTCGGCAGCTTTTGAACCTTTGGGGATTTGGGACAGGAATTCATGAGCGGCTCTTCTTCTTAGCCTTAACTTTTAATCCGAACACAAAATCAGCTTGCAGTTTCAGGCAGGCTAGGAAAAAGAAGTGATATCCAATAGTATAGAGCTGGAACGGGCCTTGGAGGTCTTCTAGTCCAGCCCCCTGCTCAAGCAGGAGAGCCTATGCCATTTCAGTCAAGTGGCTGTCCGGTCTCTTCTTAAAGACCTCCAGTGTTGAAGCACCCACAACTTCTGGTGGCAGGCTGTTCCACTGGTCCTTCCTGTTAGGCGGTTTCTCCTTAATTCCAGGTTGCTTCTCTCTTTGGTTAGTTCCCATTAGGGTTCCTCTCAAGGCTCTTGAAGTTGGTGCGGTGTATGGAAGGAGGCTCCTAGATAGAGCATTGCCCTTCAAAAGGTGCTTAGGCTCTGGAGGCTCTGGGGCTGAGGGCTCCGCAGGCTGGCTGGGAACACAGAAGGGCTGCTTCCTACTCCTCTGCCGCAACCGCCCAGTTCGGAGGTGTGAAGGCCATTTGGCTGGTGCACCAAAACTCGTTGCTTGCGCAAACACACAAGGATTTTTTAAAAAAAGAAAACGGTGCAAAAGGGGTTTGCTGACTTCTGGAAGAAGATGGCTGAGGCTGCTTGCTCTGACCGAGCGTGTCCTCCTCCTTCCTTCCTTCCCCAGCACAGCTTGCGTGGGCATTCGGGGACGGACTCTGCTCACCAACCAAGTCCTTGTCGTCCCTTGGGCGGATTGGGAAGCTGCCCCAGGCCCCCTCCTCTTGCTCAGCAGCGGGTCTCTCGGAGGGGCTGCTCACCTGCCTTACGTGGGAACTCACCTGGACAAACGGTTCCTTTTTCCCCAGAGCATTCAGTACAGGTGGTTCCCGACTTACAACCACAACAGAGCCCCAGATTTCTGTTGCTAAGTGAAATTTTGCCCCTTTCTGCAACCTTTCTTACCACGGTTACTAGGTGAATCACTGCAGTTGTTAAGTGAACCTGGCTTCCCCGTCAACTTTGCTGGTCAGAAAGTCGCAAAAGAGGATCAGGCGACCCTGGGACGCTGCAACCGTCATAAATACGAGTCACTTTGCCAAGCGTCCGAATTTCGATCACGTGGCCGCAGGGATGTTGCGATGGTCCGAAGTGTGGGAAACGGTCATGAGTCACTTTTTTCAGGGCCGTTGTGACTTTGAACCGTCACTAAATGAACTGTTCTAAGTCGAGGACTAGCCGTATAGCATCTGCTGGAAAACGGGAGGAAGGACTGTGTGGACTTCAACTCCCAGAATTCCCCAGCCAGCTACGCAGCTGAAGTCCACGAGTCTTAAAAGTGGCCGGGCTTGGCTCTCTCCGCCGTAAAGCTTTATTTCCACACGTTGTGGTGCATCTGTGTTTTAGGCATTCACACATTCATCTATTTTCAAAGAGTCCTGGAGAACAAACCAAGCCAAAGATGATCTCTCTGGTTGCAAATTCCTGTGTTATTCCTGTGCATTGTTTTCCTCTGCCTACTCAGTGCTGCGTCTCCCTCATATCCTGGGTTTCCTTTCCTTTCTTTTCTCTTATTGTTCCTGCTTCTGGCAAGGCACCGGGAGTAAAACTACCCCCGAACTGACCATCTCCTCCCCCGTCCCCTTTTCCTTCCTGCCCTCTCTTTTGACCTGGCCGGTCTTCCGCTGACCTGCTTGCCTGACCAGTCTGAACTAAACACGAAAGGAAGAAAACCAACCAGAGCAGCTACTGGCCTGCCTCACTCAGCCCTGAGTCCTGCAGCCCCGTCTTGGGGCTGTCCCCCACCTCCCCGTGGTGCGCTGAGGGCTATGAGTAATTCAGGCCGTTAAATCTGAGCACATCTGGAGGCGTTGGCTGGGGAAGGGCAGCTTGGTTCAGTGGTGAAGGCATCCGGCTGGCAAGCGGGAGGCAGGGGGTTCTAGTCCAGTCTTAGGCAGGAAAGCTACCCCGGTGATGTTGGGCCAATTATCAGGAGATGGGGGGTTCCAGTCCGGTCTTAGCTGCGAAAGCCAGCTAGGTGACTTTGGGCTAGCCACCAGGTGACTGGGAGTTCTAGTCCCACCTTAGTCCTGGAAGCCAGCTGGGTAACCTGGCCATTTCCCCTTTCAGCTCGACCCACCTGCCAGGGCTGTTATGGTGGAGGAAAGAGTATTATTCACCTGCTTGAGTTGTTTGTAAAAATAAGGGTGGGCTACCAAGAAACAGGTCGACGTGTGTTGCTGTGTGTCCGTTGTTCCCCCCTCTCCCAGCCCCCATTTGGGGATATGAAGTGGACCCTTGGAATCAAAATAAAAACACACCGTTTTCTCTCCAAAGCACCTTTGGGACAGCTATGACCTGGAGGAGTGAGAATCTCCACAGACATAATTGTTTTCTCTCTCTTTTTTTCCACCCCAGATTCCTGATGAATTTGATAACGGTAAGTAGACAAGACCTGGGGTTTTTTGGGGGGAATTTCCTTGATGGGCTCTGGTCAACAGGCTGATTTGAGGGTCAAGAACGGGAGCGAAGAGATTGCAGGAGTAAATCTGGAGTCGCCCCCATCACCCAAGGCAAACACAACTGGAATGTTTACTGCATATTATTTGCAGTTGCGGAATTTAGTATCCTGGCTGCGTTTCTTAAGAGCAAAGGGAGAAATTGTTTTCAGCTAATCAAGACGCCTCGCTACCTTAAGCCCCTCGGCTGGGTCCGGCCTCCGCTGACTTGCACCAGAAGCCGCTCTGTGGAGGGATTAAGCGCTTGGAACCAGAAGGGGGGTCGCTGCAGCTGTGACCTGGTGCCCTCGGCTCCTAACCACCTTTAAAAAAAAAAAAAGCGAATATTCCTTGAATGCAGCAGCGGAGGGCAGAAATAACCAGAATCATCGCTTTCCCCTTGCCGTTGGCCACACAAGTGCGGGGGCTTCTCCCCCCACCCCAAAAAAGGCAGCAAGCCCGTTCTCAAAAGCAGGCGGTGGGGCAGGACTTTGCAGGACAGGAAGCCAACCATTCCTCAGACCATATAGGACAGAGGTCCCCAAGCTATGGAGAATTCTGGGAGTTGAAGTCCACAAGTCTTCAAGTTGCCAAGCTTGGGGGGGCAGCCCTGATCTAGGGTCTTCCCCGCTCCCCCTCCTCCTCCTCCCTGCCCTTGCCCATAGCTGGAGGCCAACTTCCCTGGTGCTCAGATAATGGGGACGAATGAAGGCCTCGGAGGGCGCCAGGGCGGCTCAAGCGTGTCACGAGCATTCCAGATGTCTCCCTGACGAGAGAGGCAGCTGGGAAGGCCCGTTTGGGGGTCTTGATATCTTTGGGTTGCTTCCGAGGTCGCATCGTTTCCGCTTTTGCAGCAGATTCCAGCCACTGCTTGGCCCGAACAGCCCCACGTGCGGGGCTGTAGGCATCCCCCTTTGCTTTGCTTTAAAAAGGGGGGGGGGGGGCACTCCCAACTTCCTGGGAGTTGAGGTCTACCGATGCTAAAGCTGCCAGGTTGGGAGACCCCTGCTTTGTTGAACAGGTTGACCTGGTGACCCCTTAGAGATAAGAGTTCCGGCCCTTGGCGTCCAGCCATCTCAAGGGCCCCAGGCTCCAGCAGCATCCCAAAGGGCACAGCTCTCCCTGGGTGTCTTCAAGAGCCGTTGGAGCTGAGCAGTGTCGTATAAGTGGACCAGTGGAATGGTAGAGCTGGAGGGGACCTCAGGGGTCTTGTAGTCCAACCTCCTCCTGCTCAAGGCAGGAGCCTTTTTCCGTCCCAGTCAAATGGTGGCCCGGTCGACGCTTGATGGGGCACCCACAGCTTCTGAAGGCAAGTCGTTCCCCTGTTTAATTGTTCTCTCTCTCTCTCTCTCCCTTCTGTGGAATTTCCTCCTCCCAGATCAGAACTCTCTTTCTTAAGCTTCTATCCGTTGTTTCTGGACGTCATTACGTTAGGAGTAGACAGGGGACGGCTCTTCATCATTCCAAATTCCAAGTTGGAGAATGCCAACGTCTCTTTCCCCCAAAACATGGTGCCTGCTGCAGATTTTAAGGAAGAATCCAACCTGGGTTGGTTATCAGAACCCCGGAAACGACTTCCGAAAGCTCAGAAGGCAAAACCTCTGAACTGGGGACCGGCCCAGTTTGGATCCTGCAACCTTATCCTGGGGCCCGTAGAGATCTGCCTTCCTTCTCCAGGAAGAGTCCTTGCGGGCTGAGCTTTGGAACCGGAGGAGGAGGAGGAGGAGGGAGGGCGGGAGGCAGGCAGGGGCCGCCCTGTGCCGCAGAGGGCCAGATGGGACCTGGCCTCGGCTTCCCCAAAGCAGATTGTGGTGGAAGACTTCGGACCAGGGTGGGGAGGGGAGGCGCAGAAGTCCGCCTCCCCCGGTTCCTTTCATCCGGGCATGTGTGCCGACAGATTAAAAGGCATAGCCTCATTGTTCCCCCCACCGTAAATTTCCTCCCTCCTCCCCCCCCCCCGCTTTCCCTTCCTTCCAGATTTCCAGCTAACTCATCCCTCCTTGGTGGAAAAAAACCTGCACACCTGGCGGGGAACCCCGGTTCGTTTCACTCTTTGTGACGCTGCTCTTGGCAGCCTCTCTCTCCTCTCTTTCCCTTCCGGGATTGTTTCCTTTATAGGGGCTTGGAGGGAAGAACGAAAGAATCCCTTACCCAAGCGGAGAGTTTACTTAGCTTTTCCTGAAAGAGTTGGATTTGGTCAGAATGGAGCTGGAAGGGACCTTGGAGGTCTTCTAGTCTGACCCCAGGCCCAAGCAGGAGACCCTGGGCCATTTCAGACAGGCCGCTGTCCAGGCTCTTCTGTAAAAGCCCCCGCGATGAAGCCTGAGGCGATAGCCCTGTTCCAGGACATGAGGGGCTCCCCCAAAGAAGAGGGCCCCCCCCCCACTTATTTCCCAAAGCCCCAGAGGGCGGGAGAAGGAAGAACAGAAGGAACTCACGAAGGAGTTAGGAATTAGGAGGAGGAGGAATTAGCCAGGGGGGGAAGGGGCTTGTCTCCAGAGAGTTTGGATGCTCCAAGACGGCCGCCGGTGTTCAGGAAGAGACGGGACAGGGGCTCCTGCTTGAGCAGAGGGTCGGACGAGGAGACCCCCGAGGTCCCCTCCAGCTCCGTTTTGGTTGATTCGTGTCACTTCTGCCTGCTGCCGCTCAATATTTGGGGAGGGGGGCGACGGGGTGCCTCTTCCTGGGATTCCAGCGGGGGCCCGAATCCTCCTCCTCCTCCTCCTCCTCCTCCCGGTGGCGGCCCAGCTGCTCCGCTCCTATTACCATAACAATGCGCCCCAAATTGCACCCCATTCAGCCGGCCGGCCTTTGATTGATTAACTTGGAGCTTCTGTTTGAATAACCCTGGCGGCTCCAATGGGAAAGCTGGAATCTCAGAGGGATAGTTAACGGGGCTGGTGGGGAGGCTGTGGACCGGCTCACACGCTCTTTCTTCCCCAGCCTGACCTCTGCTTAAGCAAGCTGGCCCGCGGAGAATCCCTTGTAGGCTTGGGGGGGGGGCGGGGGGCAGCGCTGCAGCCCCACATATGTTCCAGCGATGTCAGGTGGTTGGGAAGGGGGAGAGGCCGGGAGAAGGAACCCGGCTGGAGCTGCAGCTTTGCTCATAAAAGAGTCCCGGTTCTGCCCAGGAACTACAGTCACACACCCACTTCCTTCTGGGGACTTACCGGTAGTCCTCGGTTGACGGCCCAGTTGGGAGCATTACTTCCTTTGCTAAGCAAGGCCGTTGATAAGCGAGTCGCTCCTGATTTTACAACCTTTTCCCCATGGTTGCTAAGCGAATCGCTGCAGTCCAAGTGGGCCGAGCAGTCCTTAAACGAATCCGGCTTCCTGCCTTGGCTTTGCTTCTCAGGGATGGCCACAAGTGGTGGTCACACAACCCCGGGACCCAACAATCACCATCAATGCATGTCGGTTGGCGAGCCCTGGAATTTTGATGACATGACCACGGGGAGGTTGCAGTGGCCTTAAATGCGAGACCTGGTCAAAAGTCACATTTTTTTTTTAGCGCCCTTGTAACTTGAAACAGCCACTAAAAGAACGGTTGTAAGTCTAGGACCACCTGTGTGTTTATTCCAGCGGAGACATCCAGGCATGAAGCCGGAGGGTTTGAAGTAACTGTAAATGCAGCAGTTCCCTCATTGCCCACCCAGAAAAATACCTGCTGAAAAAGTAGAAATTGTCCTGCTGGTTTCTGAGGGCATTTAAATGGGTTTCTTGTAGCCTGAACTGCAGTTCATGGGCCTCCGAATCAGGATTGGAACTGGTTCTCGTTATACATGCCAGCACCCAGGAGCGAAAGACGTATCGGACTGGGTGCTTGTCAAGTTACATTTAGACTTTTAATCTGCAGAATAACAGGGTTCCCTCAGCAATGGGCGAGCTTCTTCCCCTGGTTCTGCAATGTGCTTTCTTCCCTTTGGCTTACAGATGTGGTGATCCTTCAACAGCTGCGAAGGTCGTACAAGTATTTCAAAGATTATAGCCAGGTGAGTGTCCAAGTTCATCTATTTTAGGGAGGCTTTGGAACAGGAGTGTTGAAACTCGGCCACTTTAAGACTTGTGGACTTCAAGTCCCAGAATTCTCAGGTCTTAAAATGGCCACCATTGGTTAACAACACTGTTTTAAAAAATCTTTTCACAATTCTCCCAAATGAAAAACTACCGCAAATTGAGTTTATATCCTAGTTGGCTTTAAAGTGTCCTACTCAATTCAGGTAAATTCCCCCCCCCCCCTTGATCCCACCCCCCCGCATAAACACACCCACACCCCCCCCCCCCCCCTCTCCTCCCCCCCCCCCCCCGGCCCCGACACCCCCCATTCTGCATCTTGGCCTCATCCGAGGGCCTCGTTTTCTTTTCCCAGATGATCATGGAGCCCACCAGCCCTAAGTTGTTGCCGGATCCCCTGAAGGAACCGTATTACCAGCCGCCTTACACCCTGGTCATCGAACTCACCGATGTCCTGCTGCACCCTGAATGGTCGGTCTGTATCCTTTCCAGGAATTGGGGGTGGGGGCAGCGTGTTCCCCTCAAAGCCAGGGGGGCACAACCGGGCACTTGGTTGCCACCCTGCCCCACCTACCAACAGTTTGAGTTGTGTGGGGTCCTTGGCGCTCTCTGAGCTTGGTGCTTTCCTTGCAGACGTTTCGTGACCCAACTAGGGAACATCATCAGGGTTTACAAGGGAGCGGCCTGATTTCACCTAGTTCAATAATAAATACATCTGCAAGAAAAGTACCAGAATATCTGCAGGGGGTTAGGTGATAATTGTCCTTTCTGCCTAGCGGGTGTTGGCTTTCTCTCAAGATCTCTCTTCTCTCTCTCTCTCTCCTGTCTTCAGTTAGTGACCGGCTGGCGCTTTAAAAAAAGGCCGGGCATCGACAACCTCTTCCAGCAGCTGGCTCCTCTCTACGAAATCGTCATTTTCACCTCGGAAACGGGCATGGTGAGTGCTCCAGGGATGGGCCCTGCCAGTTGGCAAAGCGGTTTGGGACTTTGCAGAACGCTCGACTCCTCCTTTCTCCCCCATTTTAAAGAGGCTTAGAGTATGCAGAATGAGCTTGTCCGTTTTTATTGAAATTAAAATCCACTATTTATTTTTTAAATTAAGCCCTGAATAGATTCTTTTAGCACAGGAGCCTCCAACTGTGGCAACTTTTAAGACTTGTGGACTTCAAACTCCCAGAATCCTGGTTGCCTAGGGGATTCTGGGAGTTGAAGTCCCCAAGTCTTCAAGTTGCCCTTTAGCTAAAACTCCCTGATAGTTTCGGCCACTGCTGGGCCGGCAAACACTGTTCCAGCCATCGCTGAGCTGAGATTTGTGCCCGGCTAGGGAAAACGGACGTGAATGTTCCAGCAAAGGAAAGGAAGGGTGATCCAGCTAGTTTCAGGCCAGCCTGGACCTTGTGTCCAATGTCCATGCTGGCCACACCGGTGCAGGGTGGCCGCAGGGGATATAACCTTAGACCGTGTCAGGCCATCGAGAGAGAGGGAGGGAGGGAGGGAGGGGCAGGTTAGCCCGTGCCTTGGCCCTCTCTTCCCTTCCACGCTCCTCCTTTCTCACGCTTGAGTGGCGGCAGTGGGGTCTCTCCCAGGGAGCGTGCCACGGCTGATTTGAATATGAATGGCCCCCTCCCTGCACCTTGCAGCCTATTGAATCCAAACCATGGCTGCGCTAATTGAGTGGGCCTGTCTTTGGGGAGGAAGCAGCACCCTCGTCTTCACCCCGAAGGTCAGGGACCTCTCGGGGAAAAGGCGCTTAGTTAACCCAGGGGGTCCAGCTAGGTCAAATCCAGAGCTGCGGCTCCAAAAAGGGCAGGCCCAGTGTCACAATTCACAACAGCCCCCTGCTTAAGGGCTTGGTTAACCCCTCAAGAAAAGGGACATAGTCAAGAGACTGTCCTCGATGTTCTGAATAATCTAAGAATACGTTATATAGCCAAAGAATATCTCAGACGTTCTAAGAACGTAGGTAGTCCTCGACTTAACGACTACAGTTGAGCCCCAACATTTCTGTTGCTGAGCGAAAGCTTCATTAAGTGAATTGTGCCCCGTTTTATTCACAGTTGTTCAGTGAATCACTAATTGTCAAGTTAGGAACATGATTGTTAAGTGAGCCTGGCTTCCCCGTTGTCTTTGCGTATCAGAAGTTCGCAAAAGGGGATCACGTGACCCCAAGGGGACCCTGCGACCGTCATAAATACGAATCAGTTGCCAAGTGTACAAATTTTGATCAAATAACCACGGGGATGCTGGCAACGATCATTGTGTGAAAAATGGTCCGAAGTCGCTTTTTTCAATTCTGTTGTAACTTTGAACAGTCACTAAATGAACGGTTGTAAGTTGAGGACTACCTGTAGGAGGTGACCAGGCTGAGCCCGAGGGAGGGAGGGAGGGAGGGATCAAACGTGTCATCAGTCTCAAACCTCTTCGTGCCCACAAGGTATGTAACTCCAGCCCGCCGTGACTTGCGCTGACTCTTATCTGCCGCCAGTTGGCTTTGACCGTCGGTAGTTCAGGTTCCCGTGGAAAGCATAATATTCCTTTGAACTGCCTGGACTTCCTGGTTTTCCCCTGCTTGACAAACACCTGGGATATTGTAAGGCTACCTTAGTTCCTCTCGTAGATTTTGAGCCGGTGTGGGTGAATATTGTCGCCTGAGGGATCGCCGTTTCTCCGGCTTGACTTAATTTATTCTCATTCGTTTATTAAATGTACATGCCGCCTGCCTCACTCATCCTTTCTCAGAAGGAAGGCCGAGGGCTGGTTTCCTCAGAGCGCCTCAGAGTCAGGCCACTTTTAACGTCCTTCGATCCGAGCCGATGTTGCTCCTGGCACACCTGGGCATCCTCTTTGAAGGTCCTTTTAGAATCCTTCTGGGCTGGTCATTCCCTCCGGCCTTCTCTCTCCTCTCCCAGACCGCTTTCCCCCTCATCGACAGCGTGGATCCCCACGGCTTCATCTCCTATCGGCTCTTCCGAGACGCCACTCGCTATATGGACGGGCATCATGTTAAGGTAAGGCCGCAGCACGGTCGGGAGGGCCCTGGGGCCCCGTGTGGGAGGGGCCCCAGGGATCCCTTGTTAGGGGGCTTTAGAGTCCCACCTGAGGTGGCCAAATGCGCCCCTTGAAAAGGAGCTTTACCTGGGAAAGAAGCAGACGCAGAGTTCAACTGCTGTTCCCGTTTCTTGGCCTTTTGCTGTTTGTAATGGGTTTTACTTCTGGGGTGGTAACTCTGGTTTTGGCTGTTCTGCGACAGTGGGCTGCACTTTCCCCAGATTCACCGTGGCACAGGTGGCCCTCGGCCACAATGGAGCCGAAATTTCTATTGCTAAGCAAGACAGCCGTCGTGCGAGTTTTTGTCCCATTTCTACAATCGTTCTTGCCACAATCCTTAAGTGAATCCCAAGGTGGCTTTGTCCTGCTGTGGGAGGATAGTACACAAGGACGCAAGGAATTGTGTATTAGCATCCCCGAGAATTGGCTTGGTTTCGTTTTTATTTATTTATTTTATTTATGTATTTATTTATTTGTATCCCGCTTTTATTATATTTACAAATAAAGCAGCGAACGTGCCCAACACAGTGTCGTGCTCCTATTTTGCCACAATCATAACCCTGTGAGGTGGGCTGGTCTGGTCTGGTCTGGTCTGAGAGAGAGGGACTGGCGCAGAATCACCCAGTCGCCTTGCCTACCAAACCAGGGCTAGAATTTGCCACCTAAGTCACCCAGCGAGGAGGATTCGCTACCTCCCAGAAAGGAGCCCCGGACCCCGGGCCTTTGCCCTTTGGGGACTTCTCCCCCTGCCCTGGACCCAGAATGCCGTTCCCCTCGACCTCGGCTGCCTGTTGCCTCCCTGGACGAGGGCCGCCGCCGTCTGAGGGAGCAGCTGCCTTGGCCACGTGCTCCACCGGGCGAGTCCCCTGGGCCGGCTGTCCCTCCACAATAGAGGGAGGAGGATGGCTTAGCTGGGCTCCCTGGGACTGGGGGCAAAGCTGCCTTCTGTCTGTCTCCTGCGCTGCCTCCCCCCTCCCCATCACCTCCCATCTGCTGCTGCAGGGGGGGCCTTCTCCCTATCTTAATTGTTTGGATTCTTCCCCCCCCCCAAAGTAAGCATAGCGGGGGGGGGGGAAGGAGGTTTTCTCTTCCTGGGAGAAGCACTTTTTGGTGGTTGCGTTCAAGATGGAGAAAGAGACAAGGCTCACTTGAGCCCACATGCTCAGGGATCTTTTTTTTTGGGGGGGGGGATTCTTGGAACAAGCCAGCCAAGCTTTTTACCCCTCCCCTCCCCCCTCCTCTTCTCCCAGCCAGAGCGGATCCTACATATTAAATGTTAAATTTATTAGATCACTTTTCTCTCTCTCTTTTTTGGATACGCTATTTTTTTTCCCCCTTTTTTTGTTGTGGCTAATGTTGAACGCCTGCTTTTGTTTCGTTTCGTTTCGTTTTGTTTGTTTTTCAGTTTTGTATTTGATCTTTTAGGATAAAACAATAAATAATACAAAAGCAATGCCGGCCAGACAACTAAACCTAGCTTGAAAGAAGGCATTTTTCACTGGGCCTGGGTGGGCGAGCAGGTTTCTGCCCTGTTCCTTCAGATTGCTTTGTCTTTGTACTGGGAATAAAGATTTGGAAGTGGGAGTGATTTGTTGAAAAGGCAAGTCTCTTCTAATCCATCAAGGCAGCCAAAGCAAATGAAAAGGAGAGGGGGGAAAAAACCTCTACAGAAAACTAGCTGATTGAACTACTTAATGACTAACTTCCAGCTTCTTGTCACAGTGAGGAATCGAAGTTCATTTTTAATTTTTCCAAGGACCTGGGACTTTGGAATATTTGGTGCATGAAAAAATAGGCATCGTTGCTTTAAAAGCTGAGCCACGGGGGCAGTTTTCATGATTTCTTCTAAAAGCTCATGCGGTACCCCTTTCCAGTGAGATGGATTGTGTGAGTGGCATTGACTTATCCCGGGTTCATTACTAGGAAATGTCATTTTAACACAATGGCTGCATCCGGTCCAAAGAACCTCCGTCGCAATACAGCCTTGCATCAACCAGGAGCCCTCAACCTGAAAAATACTGTACGGAATTTCTCCGAATTGTCCTCCTTTGAAAGGAGGCAGGAGGAAAAAAGGGTGGAAGGATGTGGGAATTTCCCTGCCAGGAATCCTCGCAGGCCGAATGCCCTTGGGCCCCATGGGGGGAGGGGGAAGCACATCCCCTCTTTGCTCAGCCAGCTGGACTTTCGCGAAAGGCCTGGAGGAGCCCCGGAGAGCCCACGGCCACTTAGGGGCTGGCTAGCACCCTCGCTGCCTTTGAGTTAATTTTCCCACTCATCTTAATTTATCCTTGCGTTGTGTATTGCCTGTTTATGCTTTGATATTTTATCTGTACAGCACCCAGAGTTGAAGGTGATGGGTGGTTTTAAAGATATAGATAGATATGAGAGAGAGAGAGAGAGAGGGAGGGAGAGGGAGAGAGAGAGAGACATCAGTTTTGCTGGCTGGGTAATTCTGGGAGTTGAAGTCCACTCATCTTAAAGTTGGTGGGTGGATGGATGGACAGCAGACAGAGACAGATAGACATGTTGATTGGATGGATGGATAGATGATCGACAGACAGACAAAAGACATAAAGGTTGATTCATTGGATGGCAGGATGGATGGAAAGAGGTGGATGGATGGTAGATGGATGGATGGATGGACAGCCAGGCAGAGAAGGCATAAAGGTTGATTCATTGGATGGATGGATGGATGGATGGATGGATGGATGGATGGATGGATGGATGGATGGAGAGAGGTGGATGAATGGTAGATGGATGGATGGATGGTGGATGGATGGATGGACGGACAGCCAGGCAGAGAAGGCATAAAGGTTGATTCAATGGATGGACAGCCAGACAGAAGACAAAAAGGTTGATTCAATGGATGGATGATGAGCGGTCAGAGGTGCCCCCTGCCTCTCTCCTTGCTCCCCCCAGGACATCTCCTGCCTGAACAGGGACCCGTCCAAGGTGGTGGTGGTGGATTGCAAGAAGGAGGCCTTCCGCCTGCAGCCCTTCAACGGCCTGGCCCTCAAGAAGTGGGACGGGAACTCCGACGACCGCACCCTCTTCGACCTGTCGGCCTTCCTCAAAAGTGAGCCTGGGGGGGGGGGGGGAAACGCGACCTTCGGGCGTGGGGTTTCATGGATTAAGGCCGTTGGTTGTTGCAGCGTTTGTAACAACGTTGGTAAAAACATTTTAAAAATGAGGTGGTGGTTTTAGTTTGTATTTTACTGCCCTGAAAAAAAATCTGGACATTTTTTAACCTCCTATCCCCCACCCGCCTTTTCCCCTTCCCCATTTCCCTATCTTTATTCCTATTTCTATTTTATATTATGATAACTACTTTTTGAAAAAGCAAGCAGAGTTTCCAGGAAGCCATCAGACGAGCCAGAGGGGACCCTCGCTCATCCCCCTGAGCTGTCTCCCCTCCCGGGGGGAGCTTGGAGCCATGGTCAGGCCTTGGCCTGGAGACCCCCGGGGGCAGGGGGCAGAGGGGGGTAACGGAGAGAGGCCGAAGGGAGTCCCCTCGGAGGAAGGAAGCCAGGCTGTTGCCTTGATCACTCTGCCCGGTCTTCGGGCCGGGCCTCACCTGTGGCTCTTCTCGCCTGCAGCCATTGCCCTGAGCGGGGTGGAAGACGTTCGCTCGGTGCTGGAGAACTACTCCCTGGAAGAAGATCCACTGGAGGCTTTCAAACGCAGGCAGTCCCAGCTGGAGCAGGTGAGAGGGAGAAGCGGGGAGGGGAATCACGGGCCGCCCTTGACCCAGAGCCACAATTCATGGGGGGGTCTCTGCAGCTCAGGGCTGACATGGGGGGGGGGTCGTTTCCTGGCAGTCGTTTCATTGCCCAAACTAGGGGACAAGCCAGATCAGAGACCACCCAGGACCCCTCATGTCAGCCCTGAGCTACGAAGGTTCTCCTTTACCAGGACTACAATTCCGCCCAATATTTATGTCACTAACCAAGGCAGTTGCTAAGTGAGTGGCTTCTCATCTCGTGACCTTTTTTCCACTACTGTTAAGTGAATCCCTGCAGTCATTAAGCGAATCTGGCTGGGAAGGTCGCCAAGGGGGACCGTGTGGCCCCAGGACAGTATAGAATAGAAATAGGGATAGGATAGGATAGAAAAAAAAGAAATAAAATAAAATAAAATATGGAATGGAATGGAATGGAATAGAATAGAATACGGAGAATAGGATAGCATAGCATAGAATAGAATAGAATAAAATAGAATAGAATAGAATAGAATAGAATAGAATAGAATAGAATAGAATAGAATAGAATAGAATAGAATAGAATATAGGATAGAATAGAATAAAATAGAATAAAATAGAATAGAGGATAGGATAGGATAGGATAGGATAGGATAGGATAGGATAGGATAGGATAGAACAAAAAGAAATAAAATAAAATATGGAATGGAATGGAATGGAATAGAATATGGAGGATAGGATAGAATAGGATAGGATAGGATAGGATTGGATTCTTTATTGGCCTAGTGTGGTTGGACACACCAGGAATGTCTTTGGTGCAAATGCTCTCAGGGTACATAAAAAGAAGAGAGACCTTCGTCCAGAGTCAAGAATCATCAGGTACAAGACTTAATAATAACAGTCATAGGGTACAAATAAGCAATCAAACCATACTAGGAAACGGTCCGTATAAATAGTAAGAATACAACCAACCAAGTTACAGTCCTGCCGTCACAAGTGGGAGGGCGATAAGGAACGACGAGAAGGTTAACGGTAGTGCAGACAGTGTAGCAGCCGTCATGAGTACCTGCCAGTTGCCGAGAGTCTGAATTTTGGCCACAGGGACCCTGCAATAGTCCTAACACTGAAAAAACAACCATGAGGCCCTTTTCCCAGTGCCGTCGTAACTTTGGACGGTCACTAAATGGTGCCAAGTCAAGGTCGACCTGTCCACAGTGGGTCCCGATTGGGCCCCTCTGGGTGGGGACGGGGCTGCCACGGCTTCTGAGCCCCCCGGGTGGGCTGAGGAGGGGAGGGGGCTGCCTCGCGGGGCTGACGGCGGTGCCGGTGTCTGTGGCCCTTCCCCAGGAGGAACAGCAGCGCCTCTCTGACCTGACGCAGCACAAGAAGCAGCAGCTCTTCCTGGGCTCCCTGGCCAGCCGGCTGTGGCCGCGCTCCAAGCAGCAGTGACCCCGGACCCCCTCAGGACCAGCCGCCCCCATCCGCGAATGGACCTCTCGGCCGCTCCTGCCCCTAGGACCCTCAGCCTGCTGTTTGGGGGGGGAGGGGGGCTTCTTGGGGAGGCTGCAACAGCGGGAGGGGCACAGACTTCGGCCCAACCTGGACACGGATGGTGGGCTGCCACCTGCCCTCCTTGCCCCCCCTGAGGTCCCGCCCAGCAGCAGCAGCCTCATTTCTTGAGACCAAGACTTTGGTGGGGAAAGGGGAGCCCGTCCCCCAGCCCTGCGGAGGGGGCCGCTCCGGGTCAGGCTCCAGGAGGGCCGGGCAGCCAAGCCATCCCCGGGGACTCAGCCCGGCTGAAGCGGCAACAAAAAGGAGAGAAAAACTCCAGCCAGGGAAGGAGGAGGAGGAGGAGGAAGAGGGGACGGTCTCTCCGGAGGGCTCCTGCCCCTTGTTATCATGTTCCCATCGGGCGACCGACGGTGCCGTGGGTCAGCCTGTTGGGGTGAGCGGAAAGGAATGCTGGGGCGCACTCCAAATAAACGCCCATCTTTGTAAGAACGATGCTTCAGCTACGTCAGTCTTCTGTGGGGCCCTTGGGGGTCGCTCTCTCCGCTGGGTGGTTTTCTTGGCAGACGTTTCATGACCCAACTAGGGAACATCATCAGGGCTAGAAGGAAGGGGCGGGTTGTGGGGAGGAGGAAGAGGAGGAAGAAAATGACTGAGGGGTCCTTGGTGCTCTCTGGGCTTGGTGGCTTTCTTGCAGACGTTTTCCTACCCAACCAGGTAACACCATCCATGCTAGAAGAGAGCGGGTTTGCCTCCATCAGGCCTTGTTTCTGAGCGACTGGAGGGGAAAGAACGCCAGGCAGGGTCGGCCCATCGTCCGGATTTTCTTGCCCGGTGAGTTGAGCGCCTGGATCTGCTCACCCTTCCCCCCCACCCCTCAATATCTCCCCCCACTGAAAAACCAGCTGCAGCTCTTTGTCTTAGAAGTGGAGGCCAGCTGTAAACAGGAAAGCAGCCGGAATGCCCTCCGGGTGGGGGGAGGAAGACCGCCAGGCCTCCGAAGGTGCTTCGCCCTCCAAGGCACAGAAACACTGCAGCCGAGTTTTGACCGTTTTTCCATCTCGGGACAATTTCTTCCCTCCCGCTGAAGCGGTGGCCGGGGGGGGGTATGTGTGTCTCCAAACGTGGCCCCTTTGCGGACTTCCAACTCCCAGAGTTCCCCATCCAGCTCTCCTGGGAATGGAAGTCTACCTGCCTTAAAAGTTGGCAACTTTGCAAAGCAGCGGCTTGGAACGTCAGTCGGGCAGATACCTGGAAGGACACCGGTCAAGGTAGCCTCTTGCTAGCTTCCACACTGCCAGGCGGGGTTGCTCTGCTCTGGCCAGGCCGACGGACGAGCTCTTTATTTCTTCCCTTGATCAGGCCAGGCCAGGCCCAGGAGGAGGAGGAGGAGGAGGAGGCCTCAAATTTCCCTTCCCAGGTGCCACAAGTCTTAACTAGCCCTCGGCTGCCGGGAGCCCCCAGAGGACGATGCTGGCGGACGGTGGAGGGAATGAGCGTAGCAGGGGGTCCAAACCAGGGCACCGCCACGGCATCCCTGGCAAAGACCTGTGGAGCAGCAGCTCTGCAAGTTGCAGGAGACGGTTTTGGGGGCTGTGGCAGCTAGGAGAAGACCACGGATGAGGAAGCCACGGAGGGGCCTTGCAGGAAGCCACCCAGATGTGCCAGCTAGATAGAAGCTTCTCTGCCCTGGAAATAAGGGGGCTGGGGGGGCGGGGTTGGTAATAGATTTATAGGTGGGGAGGCTGTTTGTATATATTGGATCCTCTCTTTTTCTCCTCTTCCCCCCTTTTTTCGTCTCCTTTTCTCCTTCCCCTTCTCCTCCTCCTTCCTCCTCTTTCTCCCTCCGCCCCCCCAAGTAAACAAGTAAATCCCAAGGTCGCCAAGGCTTGTCTCATTGCTTCCTGTTTGGCCTGGATAATAGATCCGCTTCCTGGACCTTTTGACGTTACCTCACCCTTCCCCTCCGCTCCAGGAAGAGGAGGAGGAGGAGGGGGGGGGTAGGGAGACGAGACCGCGGGGTGAGGGGCTGCTGCCAAGGTTGTGGCTGCCAAGGGTCCCCCCTTTGCAAAAGGAGGACGGCAAAGCCCTCCCAACTCTGTCGGTTTCTGTTAGAAACCCACTTGCTCCCTTGTCAGGATGCCGGGCAGGGGGGTCGTAAAGGCTGGTGGGAATGTCCTCCAGGCAGAACCTGGAAGGCCACTTGGGGGGATGCTGGTGGGGGGGGGGGAAGACTGTGTCTTCTCCAAGCTTCCCACCCACCCTTTCGATTCCCCCCCCGGGTCCTGCCCTGTGTAGGACAATCCGAGCCTCTGCAGGGCCTGCACCGCCGTGGAGGTGAGCATCCACAGGTCCAGCCCCTGAGGATCCCCTGCGTGCCCGGCTTCAGAACGGCTCTCCGGCGACCTGCCAGGAGCCCAGCTGCCCTTCAAGAACCGGGACCGCCCCATATGAGATCTGGGTCTCCAAAGTAACCAAGGTGTGAGGGGGTGGCTGGATCTCTGCTGGGCCAGCTTGAGGGCCTCAGGAGCCGTCAGAAAGCCCCAGAGGCGATTTTGGCGAGCTGCTTAACGGGGCCTTGCTCAGCCATGAAAATGCTGGCCTCGATTGCGGTTGTAAGCTGAGGACCAGCCCTGTAGGTAAAGTCCCTGAAAGCAACACAAGGACAGCCTGAACTTTGGGAGTGGGGAATCCCTGGTGCTGCCTGAGCTGGCTGGCTTTCTTGCAGACGTTTCGTGACCCAGCTAGGGAACATCATTGGTGCTAGAAGAAGGAGGGTCTTCGGGAGAGGAGGAGGAGGAGGAGGAAGAGAGGAGGAGGAAGAGCGGAGGGCTATGGGTCCCTGGTGCTCCCTGAGCTGCCTGGCTTTCTTGCAGACGTTCCATGACCCAGCTAGGGAACATCATCAACGGTGCTAGGAAAGGAATGCAGTTAACTGCGCTTAGATGAAGTTACTTAGTTAACATTGCTCCTCCTAGCCCTGATGTTGTTCCCTAGCTGGGTCACGAGACGTCTGCAACAAAACCAGCCAGTTCAGAGAGCACACCGGGGACCCTTCCATGCCGACCCTGAGCTGATTCTCCTTCGTTAGGAGGCCGAACTGTCTCGTCAGCACCCAGGAAAGGCGGCTGTGGTGGAATCGGGTCAGAAAGAAAAATAAACCTGTTCAAAAGAGATCCAAGAAGCGATTTTGCCGCCCAGCCGCCGTTTCAATGGCCGGAAGGCCAGGGCACAAGATTGTCTGGGTCAAACCATTTCCAACCTCGTAAGAAACGGCTCTGTGTTTCCTCAAAAGGAGGGGGAGGGGGGCTGGCCTCTCTTTCCCCTCTCTTAAGGGGCCTCAGCCCTTCCCCCCCCATCACCCCCCACCCCCCCACCCCCAAGCTGCAGTTGGCAGACAAGCCGGAGACAAAACGCCAAGCATTTCCTCCCATTCATTGAGAGTGGGGGGGGGGGTCTTTGCCCACCCTGGCCTCCTCTGTGTCTCCTTGGCACACACACACACACACCCCAAGTCGCCTGCTTGGAAGGGAGAAGGGATAGAGCAGGACCCGCACCCATAACTTGCAACTTTAAGACTTGTGGACTTCAACTCCCAGCATTCTCCAGCCAGCAGAGCTGGCTGGAGAATGCTGGGAGTTGAAGTCCACCAGTCTTAAAGCGG